TTTCTTTCCTGTTTCCCTTCTCCCTTCGTTGCCGTGCGTTTCCTTGTCCGCCGCTCGAGATTCAATTAACGCGCTCCTCGAAGCCGCGCGGGGGATGCTCTTTCGTCGGGCTGCGACGCGCTCGCTGCTCGTGGTTACCGGGTTTTCATGCGATGCAGGGTTTTCCTCGACGAGGATGGTTGGTTTAAGGGTAGCTTCTTCTTCGAACTAGTCGAACGTGTCGAGGATACGCTGAAAACTGCAAGCCATTCGCTTCGAGAATAACCTGACGCGGTAGATTTTAGGTTTCGAAATTCACCCTTTGGCGAATCAAATTCATCGAAATATTTTGAATAATCATTTTAACGCTGGAACCACCGAGTAGATCAATCGAACTTGTATTCTCTGATACAAATGCCAAGAATGCATTGTGATCTTGTTTTATAATTCAGTTTGCATATGATTAAATCGATTTATTAGGCAATTTCTCTGAGGAGGGATAACGTACATTCTGAATATTTGTAGAATATCCGTTTTTCGATGGAGCTACGTTCACGATTTCCTAGAAGGATTCAAGAATTCTCTGCTTGATGTATGTCTAGGTTTTTTACGAAGTGTACCGACTGATAATTAAGAGCAGTAATATTTAGTTTGAACTCGAGAGAATCGAGCAAGATGATCGAGTAACGTTTAATTTCACGGTTTCTCCTTGAACCTGTTAATCTTCCGGTTCAACGCCTCGCCACCTGTACGCTGACCACGTCCCTTTGGATTTCATGGTCGCCTCCCGCAACCCTTGTTGTTCTCCGCGAGCCACCCTTCGATTTCTGTGTATCGGTGGGCAAGGCAGCGAGACGTGAAAAGGACCCCGAAGAAAGCAGCCATTCTTCGCGACCCTTTGCTCTCTGCCGATCGTCCTCTGTATCCCCTGATCCTAAGGACTCACTCGAGCCCCTGGGGGTTGGGGAGTTCTTCTCGGAATTCCCTGCCAAGTGTCTTCCACTCGATTCTCCTGTCGTCGATTCACTTATTGCCATTGGTTACCTAGAACTCGTCCATCGTTTCCTACGTTAAATTAATAATCGCCTATATTCTTCTCTCGAAACTGTGAACTTTATTTCACATTAGGAATAATTGCATACAATATACCAATTCTCGTATTCTACTAGAATTTCGCAAATATCGCTCAATCCCTGAGTCCAAATCAAATATTACTTTCCTATTATCAAATGTAGCGAATATACGAAGTTTCTTTCTTCAATGAATTATAAATGACAGAATTTTGTAGATGGCACAGTCACATAGTTGCGAAAGAAATCACGGTGCAAAGGGTTAATTTATCAATCAAACAAGATCGAGCTTCGAAATGTATCACTCTACACAGAATGATTAACAAAATTGGTGTACGTATCTCTGTAAAATAGGTAACAACAAAATTCAAAATAAATAAAATTCATAATAAATAAATAAAAAAAAAAATTCCTCGCTCGAGACTGCCAAATCTCTGAATTCATTTTCAGTGGTTACCCCTTTGCACTCGAGAGGTGACTCCCTCTTTTTCAACCTTCGTTGTGTAATTTATCTATGAATTAGGGTTAAATTATTTTCAAACAATATCGCCTATATCTCGTCAGAAGATGTTGAACATTTCCATTGAAAAACTTTCTGGTGCAAAGGGTTAAAATTTGTATCGTATAGTACAAGTTGATCGAAGTTGATCCTGCCAGGGGTGACGACTCCCGGCGACAGGGTTGGGAACCCTGGATATCCGTCCCCAGGATTCCCAGCGGCGCTCCCGACTCGACGGGTCGCCGCGTCCGCGCAGCCTCGTCCGGCGTCTGCGCAACCCGCTCCGCGATTTCTCCCCGCGTTCATCCCCCGTTCTCCGGACGCGCGACCCAGCGAACTCCGGTCAACCCTGGCCGCACCGCTGGCATCCGGAAGACGCAGTCATTGCCTCCGGCTGTCCCATTCGGCGCTTGCGTCGACCATCGTGTCTCTATCGGTCTCAGGCTACGATTACGCGGAATGCATACGCGAATCGCCCGGCGTTTCGATGGATAAACGTCTGTAGATCACCGTGCGTCTATCAACTTCATCGGAATTTGATTCCTTTTCAACACTTTTACTGCCACGTAAACATTCGTCAAAACTCCCATGCACTCGAAACAGTTTTCTTCGTTAACCAGAAACTAAGAAATCAAGATTCTTCTTAATGACTGCTCCACTATCTTTCTTATATCTCATATATCCAAGAAAATTCGGTTCGTTCTATACGTCGTGAAAGAAATTAATGTCCACGTTTCTGTAAAATATAATGTCACTCGAATTCGGGTGACGTAGTCGAAGTGTTAACGCGTTGAACGCCGCACGATTTCATAGAGCAAAATACACAAAATGGAGAAAGTACGATATTAAATCATTCGACGGAATTGTTACCGTTGCACGTTCATCAAATTGAACGTCACCGCAATGGATAGCATTACTTATAATATAGAAATGTTTGCGAATAATCATCGTTTCATTGAGTGAATTGTAGTAATTCGATTTGCTATCACCGGTGACCCTCATGGCATTCAACCTGTTAAGTTTCTTCGATTTTCTTCAAAATCCTCCTTCAAAAGGCTCCTCTTTTGCATCTGCTTTCGAAATTCGCGAGAGATCCCAGGATGTAGGGAAAGAGGAAGAGAAAAATAGGCAGTGTCTTCATTTCGTCGTTTAGACAGTGATCGCGATCTGTGTAGCTGCAAGCAGAGATCAAATCTTGAACTGTAAAAGCTGAAGTTTTCCGGAGAAAGCTGAAGATTGCTGGAAGACTAGAGGGTGGGAGACTTTTCAGACTTAGATCGAGCTGTGAAGGTTTACGGTTATCTCGAAGCTTCGCGAGACTCAGCCTTTATCGTCGAACCTTGAGCTTCCAAGAATCTTCAATACGGTTTGAAGCTTCCGAAAGAGTACATCATCGAACCTTGAAGCTTTCACGACCCAGACTAAACTCGAAGCTTCAAAACTGTGTTCAATGTCATGCCTCGAAGCTTCCAAGACAGTCTTTAATGTTACGCCTCGCAGCTCCCAAGCTTTTGAAACCTCCGGTAAGACTCGGTGTTTAAAGTTGACCCTTGAATCCTCGAGGACTCGAGCGTTCCGCAACACAAACGAACGTATCTCCGCCTCTGAAGAGGACTACGCGAGTCATCCACGCTCGGTCTGTTCGTTCTCCGCTGCGAGTCCGGGTTTATCCGCGACTCCCACCCCCGGGCCGGGTTCAGGAGGCAACAGCGGCAGCAGCAGCAGCAACAGCAGCAGCAGCAGCAGCAGCGCCGGGGGTGGCGGTGGCGGCGGTGGCCAGAGGGTGCAGCGATTGGCGGCAGCGCCTCGGCCCGTCAGTTTAGTTACCGCACCACATAAAGGCATTGCGTTGTAGACACCGTTTATAAACCCGCAATATTCTTACCGTTTGCTTCTACAGTCTCTCCGTTCGTTTTCCGGCCCCCTAAATTCGGCAGACCTCCACGTTCGTCAGTTTCTCTCGTCGGTCAAATTAACAAGCCGTCGTAACAATCCGCAAACACTTCATCGCCCCAACCGTCGTCGTCCTCGCCGTCCGCTGCGTCGTCGTGCTCATCGATCTCTCTCCGTGCACACGCCGTGTATTCCTGCTCCTCTCCCGCCCACGTGCCAGTGCGATCGAACCGACGAAAAAGGAACCTCGAAGCCAGACGAACAGCTTCGCGCACCGTCGCTGACAGGAGACGAGACAGTGGAAGGAACGACGGAAAGGAGACGAGAAGACTCGAGCGTGTGTGCGCGTGCTTGGCGCTCTCCCGCGAGCAGCGGGAAGAACAGTGAAAGAGGAAACGAAGAATCGAAGGCGAGTCGACCGATCGAGGGAGCGAAGAGCCATTTCTCGGCGAATGTCTCTTCCACGTGCGTCCTCGTTCCGTGGCGTCTTATGATTTCGTTGGCAACCCCGGCCCACCCTTCCTCGCTCCCTTTTTCTCGGCCCGCTCGTTACCGGATCGTTCGGTGCCGATCGACGCGCCCGCGGTCGCTCCTCGAACGAACCCCGCTCGCGTGAAACGAACACGACCCGAGGAAGATGGACCGGGAATAGACCGAGCGGGCATCGCGTTGCAACCTTGAATCGCAGGGACGAGTGGAAGGCACCGCTGTGCGCGATATCAACGTGAACGAGGCAGCTGGCGGATCGTCGTTCGGAAGATTCTTTCGGGGAGGAAGAGGAGGAAACGAGACGGGGGATAGAACGATTGGAAGATTGAGCGAAGGAAACGGAAGATGGAATATTGAGCATAGAGGATAGACAGGACGAAGAGGAATAGAGTTCGGAAGATAGAAATTTTGGGAAGCGTGCAGGATAGTGCAAGAAAAGGATTAGAGTTCGGAAGATAGAAATTTTAGAAAGCGTACAGGATAGTGCACGAAGGAATAGAGTTCGGAAGATAGAAATTTTAGAAAGCATACAGGATAGTGCACGAAAGGGAATACAAAGTTGGGAAGATAGAAAATTCAGGAGGCGTACAGGATAGTGGACGAAGGAACACGAAGTTTGAATAGAGAATTAGAGGATAGTGAATAAAAGGAGTAGAAAATTTGTAAGATACAGGAGAAGGAAGAGCAGAGGAATATTGAGAAATAGAGGAACAGAAAGGATAAAGAGAAGGAACAGAAAAATTGGAAGACAGAGAAAGATAGCAGATTGAGTGAGAGAGAGAGAGACTGGCACGGACAGACAGTCGGGCAGAGAGAGCAAGAGAGGAGAGAGAGAGGCCAGTGCCGACACCGGTGGGAGTGAAAGAGAGACGCACCGCGCGAAGGGTGTGTTCCGCGGATTCGTTCCCTTCCGCACGGCCGTTAAGGGAATCGAAGTGCACCGCGTGTTGAAAACGTGGATCGTTCGTCGGTTCGTGTTGGTTCCGCCGATCGGAGAGATAGAAAGTGTCGTCGCCCCGACATACCCCGGTTCTCGTCGAACGTTTCGCTCGGCCGGTGGTGTTGAGACGCGCCCCGTTCAACGGAACGAGAAGATAAGAAGGAGATCTCACGCGATAGTTTGTTTCGAGAATAAATAAAAGAAAAGAATAAAGAAACTCTCAACGAGAAAGAGAGGATAAGGATATAATAAACGGAATAAAGTTTAGCGGAACGTAGATGAAAGGGATGACATAAGAAAGAAAGCAGAGACTGTATTTAAATATTCACGCCGTGATAAGATAGTAAAAAAAATAAAAAAAACAGATAGTCGAATGAAATAAAGAGAAAGCGTTGCTTAAACCGGTCGTCGTTTCGTTCTACGCCCAGATATCGGCATCTCCTCCAACCACTGATTTTCATCGTTAACCGGTATGTTCATTTGTTTCTTTACTTTCGTTGCTTCTGTGAATTTTCTCTTCTGACGACACGTTCTCGAATCTTATTATTACCGTTCTATTCTTCTCTATTGTTCTCTATTTCATTGTTGTTCGTTTACACGGTTACCGTGTTTATGATTGCGAGTGTTTATTACCATCGATCCGCCTATGCGCACCGGGACCGCCGAGCTGCGCTGGCCCACGGAAGTGTTTCGAATGTGCTCGCGATGGGAACGGGCATAGAATCTTCGGGCCGGTATCTCGAAGTTTCAACTTTCAGATTCGAAAGCTTGCAGTTCGAACGTCGAGAGCTTGGAATTTGAAATTTGGAAGCTTCGAGTTTGACACACGAGTTTGACGTTCGAAAGCTTCGAGTTCGAAACTTAAAAGTTTGCCGTTTGAACTTCGAAATGTTTTGTTCGAAACGTTGGAGTTTAAAATTTCAGATTTGAAACGTTCGCGCAGCAATAAGTGGAGTACACGCGAGGATTCTGTGTGCAAGTGTCATTGAAATAAAGCAGTACAGTCGAGACAGACGTGTTTCTAAGAGCTGACACGAAATCTTGACATGCCTCGGTACGCCTTGTAGACGATGTTTTAAACACTTTCGTCCAGTGCATGTGTTTATCGGTGAGCGCGCGCAACCGGCTGACCGATCATTAAATGCGACCACGTTCACCCTACCCCGCACCAACCCCAGCCAGAGGAGGATCCTCGATACAGGACGTTCTCGGAGGATTCTCCCGGCAGCCGCCATCGCATCCTCCGAATTACTCGAGCCGGTCGCCAGTCGGAGTGACTAACTTTCCCCATGAACTCAAACTTTACTACCGAAATTCGTTCTTCGCGTACGTGTTCATAATTTCGTAAAAACAATGATTTCGTCGAATTTTTCCTTTTCTTTTCGGAGTTGATCACCTCGACGAACGGCTCGTCCACGATCTCTCGGTCCACGTTGCTTTCGGGTTTCGACGTATCTTTCCTATTGTTCGATGATTCTCGAACAATTCTCAAACAAGACAATGAAACTTATGACTAGATTGTAAATTACTTTTCGTAACGGTCGCTAATAATTGCAAGTTGCCGAGAAGTAACTTGTGATCAATAGTTACGTTTCGAAACGGTGTCCAATTCTTACGAGTCTTAACGATCTGTTCGCATAATTCTCGAGCATACTGTTCGAAACGCTGGAAAATCGAGTGACGTCTCGCCTATCGATCGTATCCCACGTCCAACCGTTCTCCAGAGAGAAGTTGCGAACTTTCCGCGCGAAAGTCGCCGGAAAATCGCTCTCGCGCACCGAAAATCGAGGGAACCGGGTAGACGCCGGGTTTTATCGACTCGCCGGGAACGTATCGGCGTGTGCCGGCAGCTGACGTTTCCTACGGCGCAGTATCGCGACCCAGAGAGAGAAGTTTGGGCGTGGCACGGCCGAAAGCAACGCGGGGGCCACGAGATCTCGCGGCCGCGCTCCTTCCACCCCTGTCTCTTCCCTCCCCGTCCGTTTCAGTTCGAACATCCCCCCGCCCCGGTGAATCCAAAAGTCCAACCTTCGAGCGGAAAACACCAATCGGAGAACAGAACGAAACAGAAAACCGATGAAAAAGAAACAAACTCCGGTTAGCTGCGTATAAACGAAAAACAGAAACGCAGAAAACGTCTCGAGGAAAGTGGAATATCAAATGATGATGATTATGATGATGATGATGAGGATGGTGGTGATGATGGTGGTGATGATGATGATGCTGATGGAAAGCGGAGAGAGTGTGCGTGAAGGGTCAAGCAGATCCAGGATGGAGCAACTGGCACTGCGGGTCCTCGTCGAGGACAAGCCGGAAGTCTCGACAGGGACGCTTCCGTCCGCGATGATGGCCTCGATCACAATGGTGCGTGAGAGGGACAAAGGGGTGTTAAGAATCCCGTACGCGTCGAAACGTGCGACGACGAAGACGTCCTTGATACAGATGGGTTTGAGTCTTCCGAGGGGGTTGAGGACGGTTATATCGGTTCCGGTTCTTGGAGCAGTTATGGAGAACCGAAATGGAGTCGTAACTGCTGTTAGGTACTTGCTTCTTTATTGCATCGGTCCTGTGTAGATTGTGGAACTGTTATTTTCCGGTTGTGGAAGAGCAAGAGCAGTGGCAGTTAGAACTGATGTAATATTCTTTTATTGTTATAAGTATCCTTTGGCACTTGCTGCTCTGATAATTGTAATTATTCTTTGGAACCTTGTGCTCTGATAATTGTAATTATTGGTTGGAACTTGTTGCTGTAATAGTTACAATTATTCTTTGGAACATTCTGTTCTAATAATTATGATTCTTCGTTGAAACTTCTTGCTCTAATAATTACAATTATTCGTTGGAACATTCTGTTCTAATAATTACAATTATTGTTTGGAACTTTCTGCTCTAATAATTACAAATATTCGTTGGAACTTCTTGCTCTAATAATTACAATTATTCTCTGGAACTTCTTGCTCTAATAATTACAATTATTCTTCGAAACATTCTGTTCTACTAATTACAATTATTCGTTGGAACATTCTGTTTTAATAATTACAATTACCCTTCGAAGCCGATACAGATCGAACCAATACACCCAACGACATCCCCCAGTTCTCCATAACTGTCAGTCGAAGCCCATACATAACAGTTCCCAACAGTTCTCTTCAGAGTCATTTGAATCCCTAGTCCTCCCAGGTTCCACGATGCACGTTGCACTCAATTGAAAAATGAGAGACTCGAGCCCATCGGTTGCAGCGCTGCCTGCATCGCCGCGCGTTCCAACGTGCATGGGGGTCTTTAGATAGTGGGCGATGCCGAGATGCAACTCGCACTCTCGTTCTCTGTCTTCCTTTTCCTGTCTCTTTACAGGAGTGCAGGGGAGGAGAGGGAACGAGAGATCGAACTGCCGGTATCGCTTCCTTCCGTTTTGCTTATCCGTTTCACCGTAACGATTTTCGTTCCGCCAGTACCGGGAGGGAGGTGCGGCGCGCTCGGTCCCGCCTGCGCGCGGCATTGTCTCCTTCCGGTGCCGGATGTTCCGCGTGTCGATGGGTCCATTGGGCAGCGAAAGACCGGAGGACGGAGACGATGGGATGTATTTTCGGATTGCCGTTTCGAACGCTTCGCAGCTTACCTATTCTCTGCCATGGGACTAATGACTAGTCTACTGTCAAACTAATTAAAGCTAACAACTAGGAGAACACGAATGCATAGTGTACAACGTAGAGAATTACTCGCGAAGCTCGAAGAACGTCAATGGGTCCAATTTATTACTTCCAAAAAGAATTCACTTCGCGTCACTTAGGTGTCTCAGTTTCTCTTCTCAAACGTTACCATCCCAATCAGAAACCAATTCTCAAACAACTAACGATCCCCGAGGAAGCGCAGGTAAAGTGCCGAGAATAAAAGAGAAAACGCTAGAGCCAGCTCCACCCCTAAATTCCTTCCCAACGTGGTTCAAGGATCATCCTCGCATTCCTAACGGTACAAATGACTTTCCACCTAATTTCCTCTCGATCCCCGAAAGGAGAGCGGAGACAAAGATCCCGAAAATCGGAGGCACAGAACGAAAGAGGCTGGACCAGCTCCCGGCCACCCCTGAATTCCAGCCTAGCCTGGAAATATCAAAGATTGACCGAGGGTTGCTCGCCCAGGAAGGATGATAGGCGGCGGGCAGCAGTGGGAAGAGGACATCTAGCAGCCAGCTAGCTCGATAGAAAGGAAAAGAGCGATAGAGGGGGCTCGCGGCTGGTTGGGGAGGCTCGTATTGATCGCTCCTGGGTCCATGTGACGCGCCTGCGTTCCGCCTGGGGTAAAATCGTAGCGAGGGTAAACTACGGCCGGGTAGGGTGGCGGAAAGAGAAAGGCGGAGGGCGAGCGAGAGAACGCTACCGGCGGGGTTCATATACCCCCGGGGCAACTGCA